TTTTTTTTTTTGAGTCATACAATTGATCTGATTATTACACATCCAGCAATGAGCGCAGCACCTATATTTTTAGTGCTTTCAAATCATGTTCATAATGTCAATAATAATACAAAATAATAATGAATCAACTCAAGTGCAATTTCTTCCAACAATAGGTGCATCTGAACACGTAGCACAGATTGTATTGTATAAAAGCAGCTGTCTTTGTGTTGAGCTTGGTGAGCGAGCGTGATTAATGAATGAGTCAGACGACTGCACTCACTGCAGCAGGCGTGTCTGGATGTCTGGCCAGGAGTCTCGCAGCTGCGTGTCGGAGTACATGCGAAAGAGGATCCTCAGACTGCAGGCCAGGCTGCTGGTCTCCTGCTTCAGAAGATTCGGTTTTGACTTCCCCTTAAAGCCTTACATGCAAGATTAATAAAAGACACGCACAATAAGAAAAGACAGTCTCCTATAAATGTCAGCATTACCACAACCCAGACGAGGAAATACAAGAGTGTGGACCTGCTCTCCAGAGCGCTGTCCTCTGCTCATTGTTGGAGTTGAAGTCCTTGGCAAACCTGTGGGACTCAAGGAGGCAGTCAAGCAGTTTGAAGAGGTGTTGTGATGACAGGTGTCTGTACATGCCCTGATCGGCCTCTGTCTCTCCCTCTTCTGCTTGCTCAAGTGCATCTCGCTATTGGGAAACAGACAGAGACAGAACAAAAGACACTTAAATTTAGCACTAAGCCATGGTATCAACACCATAAAGGGCTGTTCACACAGGCTGCATTCTCACAGTTATTAGTTGTAATTCATAAGGTTTTATGGAGTTTACTTTCAAACAGAGGTTATGTGAACACACCTGAGCAGCCGCCATGTTCTCAGCATCCTCCCTCTTGCTGGTAGCCGGGTAGAATACAATGTTGTCTATGGTCTGAATCAACTCCAGCTGTACGACACACTTTATAAGCAGCCCTGCAAACAGCCTGTGGTCTGAGACCCCTAGATCAGAGTAAGAGAGTAACATGTTCAAATTCACAGAAGAACTCAGAAAGGTGATCTGTAAAGTGGTATGAGGATTGGGCAACAAGGTTGTCCAGTGTTGTTTTATTTCACATTCAGATCAGCCTCCATTCAATCTGCAATTTCTTTCCAATACGTTCTCAATGGACAAAATCACATCCATATAATTTTCGCTTGTTCAATGAGCACTTTCACATGGATAAATGTCAATAATAGAGAACAAAAGTCAGTCGAGTTTTCAGTTTCATGCCGACTTCAAAAGAGGAAGAGGTCATATTGTTCAAAGGGAATGTGGCTGTTGGTGGAAACTCTAAACTGTTATGTGGCTTCAGCAGCTTATCAGACTTCTTTATATTTTGGACAAAGCAAGCAAGCTGTGTGGCATGAGGTTAGGTTTGAAACTCTCAGTACAAGGGTAAATCCCATTGAAACTTCAAAGGGATTTTTTTGTTCTGTAATAGATTTTTTTGCATTGTGGTAACAGGGAAATGGAGACTTCATTTTCTTTAGTCAAATCTAACTTTAGATTTTTTTCTTTTGATTTTAGAGTGACATACACTACCATTCAAAAGTTTGGAATCGGTAATACTTTTTACAATGAGCACGTTTACATGCACACCAGTAAGCTGATAACTCACA